CTAAACAACATTATGTATCATTAAACTATTAAAATAGATTATGCTATAATCATAATATAAACAACCGTGATATTTCAATGGCATTACGTCATTGTTATGAGTAATTAGGTTTCATAACTACGCCTACCTATTAACATACACTTCCACTTTTCATCAATTAGCTACATACATATAATAAAGAAGTATCTATTACCTTCGTTGTAGGCTCGCGTCCCGCTCTAGTTCAGACCATGTTACGGAGCGAGGGGGACTGGGATCAGTCTGGGTTCAGTAAATAAATGAATGAGGGAGTACCTAAGTACAGAAAAACTATAGTATATTCTTGGGTTCCAGGTAATTCCGACTCTGAACTTAAGTAACATTCCTACACGTATCTTGGTTGGTACGTGGGTACGTGCTTTAACTTTGCTAGAAGTTGTAACAATGTGTGTTCCAGCTGTTAACTGGAGAGCTCATTAGCAAACTCCGTGCTAACGACTGGCAGCCTCTTTAACATTAAAATTGTTTGTAAAAGTGTAAATGTGGTGGTGGTGTGGTTTATATGGTATCTTAATTCGTTAAGTGGTTTCAAATTGAGCGTTATTTTTATATTGAGAGAGTGCGTTTTCGTAAAAAAAGGTTCTTTCTTCTATCTTTCCATACTTTTTATACCCCGAAATACCTAATTTAAAGATATTAATATTATCAAATGTTTAGTGAACTGCATTTTATTACGGCTTCGTTGGCGTGGTCGCAAGCGCTAATGGAGAAGGGGTCGCGGTTTTGATTCCCGGGTCAGGCAAAGTTTTTCAAAAAAATCTCAGTAGTATTTGGTATATGGCAATAGGCTCACATAAATAGTGAAAAGTGGGTATTATCCAGTGGCATTAAGTTCCATAATGTGCACCGTTTTCTACCCTTTCGGGGATAAAAGGCGTGATGTTATTTTATGCCTTTCATTAGTAACAGTTATGCTTTGAATCCAATGTAAGTAAGCCTATTCTCGTAGCCGAAAACAATTTTGGACTAAGTAATCAATAATTTCGATGACAATTTTAGCTTAGAATTTGACTTTAGTTGATGATAAGTGTAACACGTTCCATGGTACCTGGAATTTGACGTTTCATGATTTTCATCAAAATATTTAATATGTGACCACAGTGATTTGATGAAGTTACCAAAGACTCAGCTCTGTTAATATTTATATGACAGCCCTGCCTATAATCTCACCTCTGTGGTACAACGTCCTTTGTGTAAAATATAAAGTAATTAATACCTGGATTATTAACCCTTTGTGTGCTCTTTCATAAACAATTTCCCCTTGTAATACCTGTGAAATAATTGAGATGAAATTTCGGATTGGTTACGTTAATTTTACGCAAATGTCATAAGGATGGTTAAGCTAGAAGCTTGGAAATAAATTAGTATGGTCTATGGTACGGCTGTTTGTTAAAAATTTTATGGAAAAAAAGTGTAAATCTGTTATGTTAGAAAATAACTCCAGATTAAGTACCTAAGTTAATAATTTTACAAATACATATAAAATCAATAACCATTTACAATAAAACGATTTACAAAGCGCTGATCATAGCCAAGGGAGCGTTAAATTCAATTTATCGTATTTCATGTTTCGCTTCAACGCTGTTTAACTTCCAGTCTTCATTTAACATGCGAAACATTCGGATACGTGCCTAGAATTTATTTTCCTACCAAATTTTGTTGACCTATCCGAACGGTGGCAGTGAGAGTTGCCAGTATTTTCCACTCTATTCTCTATGACGTGTCAATCAGGTTTGTTTTTGACAGGTGGTTTTGGCGCGCTTGTCAAACATTGTCTTTTTTTATTTTAAATATGGAACACCACACGGTATTCGAGACTCGATTGCCTTGATTTATAGGAAAAAATATACTTAAATTTTTTCAGTTTTTGTTTATTTTGTAGGGGTACCTGTGATATTTAATATTTTTTCAAATAATCTATCTGTTTATTAAATACTACTTTTCATTGTTTTGTCATTTACACACTTTTGGAAATTAGGAGTAACTACTCATCCCGAGAACAATCAAATGTTTTAGCAAGTATTTTAGTTAACTCTTCTATAAATCCACAAGAAAAACAAAAAAAAAAAGAATTAATTAAAAAGTTGTGAAATATGGTTAGTTCTCTTAACATTTTTACATTGGTATTTTGTGAAAAGCAACCACAACAATTAGATTTGGAAATACTTTTGACGTCACTGTTTAACATGGTGCTATTTTTAAAAGGAATCTGTGCTGTAATAAAAGGCCGACCATTAGGTAATTATGCACATCAGCTTTGTAAAAATGTATTACAATTTAAAAACGTTCCATTCTGTAGCCAGTACATAATAGTCCCAGTTACACGAAAAAAGAACAATGAATCTCCTAACTCAATTTAAGCACCTGTTCAACCTTCTGAAGGGCAAATTTTATTAGAACCGTTATAAAAACCCTGTATCTTAGTAATGTGCGTTTTTTACGAGATTGTTCCTGGTTTATGACGTCATTTTATCTATAGATGTACATAATTATTTTGTTGTACGAAGCTTCAAACCTTATATCGAGGTGATAAAACGTCTTTTTCATCGTCATAAAAGTTAGGTCTTCCTAGACAGATCTACCAAGTTTATGTTTGCTCGTAACTGGAGATAATAATGATCGTTTTTATTGGTTTTTTGAGTACTATCGTTTGATTAGAAGTGATATTTTTCTTGAGTATCATAATAGATTTTTCTGGAGCCCTCAAGGGTCAAGTCTATCAGAGAACGATTTGGGTTTTTGTGGCCCAATTCTTGTATGTTTTGTCAAAGACTCAAGGTCGTAAATTGTCCTCGATAAATAGTAATGGGCTCATCCCATATTGGTCCTAAACCAACAAGGACCGGGGGTACTGTTAGCCTATTAGGAGTGAGCAAAGAGGGTTCTGCGCCTTTTCTAAATCCTTTGGAGATAGCGAGTCAGTTGTCGTAATCTCCTTCAAATCACACTTGAGTAAATCGTATATTTCGGCCACATACTAAAATATTTTTCGTGACACAAATATTTTGAAGCGACCACGCCTTTAGTCAACCTCTTTTGACGTACATGAGGGTCTAGCCTCCGGGCAAAAGTGAAATTGTGTTCTTTTTAACCAAAAATATTCTTTAGGCCTACCTAAAACACAGCTACCTGTATCTTCTTGCCTATTTTTCGATTAGAATGATAAATAATCTTTTCGTGAAGTTTTGTCAATTAATAAAAGTAAGATCGTCGATCAGAACATTAACGGCCGAAATATAACACTGAAGCACAAATAACTATAAAACTCACGATCATTGTGATCGTATCACTTCGGAGCCAATGACACTTAGGCATCTAACCTCCTAAATGGGGTTCATGCTAAAATTTACGTTCTTCTGAGATGGTTCAAACCAGGATTGTATGCTTAACATATCCTGGCTTGAGTGTTTTAAATCTATTTGAACCGAGAGATGTAATAGGCAGTAAAATACAAGAAAATTAGGAAGAATTATCCGTCTCTTAAAACTAAAGATAAGACACTAAAAACAAAAAACAGTATTGAGCACTCATTGTTTTCCAGCCATCTTTATTAATAGTCGTCTCCCGAGGCTCAGTACGGTTCCACGAGCACTAAAAGCTTTCATTTTTTTCCAAACATTCCTTTGATTTTTTCCGTCGCAAGGAAAATAAAATATTACCATTATTTCCGAAGTACTTTAGGAATATGTGACAAGATTTATGTCCGCGGCCCTTGTTCGTTTACCTACTACAGAATAATATATTACTTGTGCTTAGGATTTAGGGTAACGACGGTTGACGGTTGTTGTTACCTACAGAAACCATTTCTTTGTCTAAAATTCCGATACGACGCACCGCCCCACATTTATTTTGTAAATTACTGTTTTATCTGTTATGTATACATACAGTTTGTGTATTTGTCTATGTTAATACTGTACTGTGTACTTAAGCTAAGGGGGTTGTATGTAATTTTTGATCTTGCATTATCAACTATTAGACACTTTCACAAGAAAAAAATGTATTAAATTCGACCCTTAAATGGTTACATTTATTCATCATTATGTTACGAAACAGGCCACGACTAAATAAGGAAGATCGAAATCGGAAATCGAAACCGAACGAACTTTCCACTTGCTTCGAATTGCTCCCGCGACTGTGATTATGTTGTTAGTCCACCAACGAGGAGACCTGTTCACGTGATATATACTTTATTATGCAAAATTAATTCTTAAAATTCTATGTATATTACATGCAACCAATGCAATGACGGCACTGTTAGCGCGGTGGCTGGGCAACCGCCTGCCGCGCAACATGTCACGGGTTCGATTCCCGCACGGAACAACTCTTGTGTTTGTGAACTTGTAAGGTTGTAAACGCACCCACGACACAGGAGAAAATCTTAGTGTGGGACGTTTTGTTTAAATAAATAACAAAATGGAATAAACCCCTTTTTTAAGACCAGGCTAGCCAGTAATAAAATGTTTGCATACTTCTCTACAGGCTTGCTACAAGTAACTGCGTAGCTCTGTAGGTTTTACTCCATAAGAATGTAAAGAGTTTCGTTTTGTAGCAAAAACAAGGTCAGTCCTCTAGAGGAATTTTTCTTGTTACTCTTATTAATAATTCGTTTTTGCCCGCGGCTTCTTATTAAATATCCGATAAGATCCTTTGACTTTTTTGGGACAAAGTGTATAGATACCTACTACATTTCGTTTTGAGTAGGTAGTCCACAGTTTTTAAAGAACAAAATCGTATATCTCTTACGCCCGAATACTGAAAGGCTACTCAATTTTAATTTGTATTTAAATATCGTGCCATCTCTGTCATTTTACAAAGAATTTGTTGTGATAGAACTATACGAGGTGTTTTTAATTAAATTTACTATATCTACAGTCTTTTCCTCTTCTATCCGGGAAACATAGATACTGTAGGAATTAACGAAGTGAAGATTTTGTTGCTTACTGATCATCATTTGTCCATAGGCACTTGTGGATCCGCATAGCACTATTCGAGCGTCAACTAGCTAAGATCATCGAGCACCTGGTCAACAACGCTAACCGGTACTACGAAAGGGACGCTCTAGTAGCAGACCCAGACTACGGGAGTATTCTGAGTTCCTTGCTAGTTGGACCTTGTGCCCTGGAGTACTCCAAGGCTAAAGCACCAGCTTGCTTCTGGACAGATCCGCCTGCAGACGAACTTGTGAGTACCAACCCAGTACCAACCCTTGTTTATTTAGTAATCAGAACGTCATAGTACTTTTTGGTGATCAGGTTTTTATAATAATTTTATCTAAATAACAGGTGCAAAGACACAGAATGTCAGCGGGTACCACAACGCCACCATCTGTTCGTAGACCGATCCTCAATTTCAAGAGGAGCTTAAACGCCTCATCTGATGATGGTAGCTCCAGCAACACGGGTAAACTTCCCAAGTTTTAATACAAAATTCCTTCAGCAACTTTCCTTAACCAAACTTACTTGCATTAACTTAATGTTTGTTGCTACAAGTTCCAAGTTTGCTTAGCAAAAACACCTCGCTACAGTTTCATATCTGCTTTTTCTTTTAACAAAAATGTTATTGAAACTTGAACTTCAGGTACAGGCAAGGCAGCGGGATCGAGTGCCAAAGATTACGTTGAAAGTTTGCACCAGAACTCCACAGCAACGCTCTTGTACGGGAAAAACAATGTCAGAGTTCAGCCGGTGAGTGCAAAACATTTTTTCCACAGATTTATTTACTCTTGTTTATGATGTGTGTTGAGTTTTATTAAATTTGGGAAACGGATTGGATCCCTTCTGTTCCTTCGGGACCGGACCAATAATACGAACGAGCACTTGAAATTACGATCGTATGTTCTCGAATTTTGGGTAGTTTATTCAATCTCCGTTATTGTGAGAAATCGTTTTGGTCTGTGATTTTTTGGAGCACGTTCTCACTCTGAGAATGATATGTTATTGTATTGTTGACCCATTGTTTGATCAACTTACTGGTTTTATATCACGACAAGTTTTCTTCCAAAATTCGTTGTAATTGAAGTGAATAATCCCTTCTATAAAATGCTTTTAAGTTTGTTTTATTCCCAACGAGACTTCCAAAGCGAAAATGTCTAGACTTCTGAGCCTGGTATTTGTCATTTTAATAATTCGGCATTATTTTACAGCTGAGCTGCCTCTGATAAATGTCTAAAACTTTAAATTAATTTACTTAGACATTAATTGAAATTGAAATATTGATAAAATTTTCTCAAAGCGAAAAATGGCCTTAAGAACTTTAGAAATTGTTTTTTGTAGACTCTTAGGAATTATTTCATGTTGAAGAATTCGGGTTTACTTTTTGAATTATTTTTATTTTAGAAAGACGTTGAGGAGCCCATGCCTGGGTATTTGAGTCTCCATCAAACTGCGGCAGGTCTAGTGATAAAATGGACCCCCAACCAGCTCATGAACGGATACGCAGAAAGTGAGGGAATTGATAAAAGGTACAACTTTCCCATTGAATTAGTTTCAAGTGTTTTTATTTGTTAGTTTTTGTACAGTAAATATAGACATAATTATTCTTTTATGAAATCCACACTATGAGGTATTTATAAAATATAGCTGACCCGGCAAACTTCATACCGATTAGAAAATATTTTTTCCCACCTTTTAAACCTCCCCTGGACTTCTACGAATATTTCAAGACCAAAATTAGCCAAATCGGAATCGGAATTCAAGAATTTGATTTATATAGATTACGAACGAATATAAGTATGTACTATAATATCAGATAATATAATACCAAGAACCATAATAAGTGATAGAAGATTAGGTGCAGATGAAAGATACCTAAATCAATTAGATTTATTTTTGTTAAAAAATACTTTGATTAATCAGATAATAAGAAGTTGAATAACACGACTAAGATACACATTATGTAGCTACCATATAGTACGAAGACTAAATTCACACCGCTAATGCAAAAGAAACCTTCAAGTAGGTATATTTACGTTACAAAGTTACGTGTGTAACTTTAAAATAAAAGTTTATTGTATCTGGTTTTATTGGTATTACATGCTGAAGTACTTTCCCAACTTTATTTGGACTTACAATGTATGAAACGTTCGTTTTAAGTACCAAAGTATTTATATATTTTATCGACGCTTCAAACACCTTGAAGTTTTACTTTTTACTTTTCTCTCTTGGGCTCATGTTTATGTAAAGAAAACAAACTTACTTTGGAATATTTTAATAATAATTGTCATAAAAGGTAGTCGTATGTGTTGGCATCTCCAATCTCAAATTCGCAGTAGACCTCAAGTGTCTTGAATGTGCGTCATGAAGGAACTTAAAACGTTCTTTGAGATAAGAGGGCGTAGCAGGATTGTACAGAATACTGTAAAGAAGTGACAGGATATGCGTATTCCGGCGAAGACTGATAGGAAGCCGTGATTTTAAAGTGTTTTGTAAGAGGAAAATTATGTTATGTTTTATTTTGTTTTTATTTAAAATCCATTTTTCTCTGCACTATTTAATGGTTCAATGTAAATAGTTACTATGTGGTATTGTTATGGAAACGTTTGTGCTTCGTGTCTATCTATTATAGCTTGTCTGAATCATTTAGTGAATTCTTTGTTCAGTACTTATGGTGTAACAGCTTGATTTTTTATTATTTTGTGAAAGAATTGCTACAAATCATGTGTTAAATACGATTCATGGATACGACCAGACTGTTAGTATCATTTTGATGTTAAATCTTGTTAATTTTCTACTCATTTGCCTTATTTCAAGTTTTTTCAAATGATGTGGAAATAATTATATGGAAAAGTATCTATCTCTCAATATCTCTCCACCCTTTTTCACATTATTCTTAAGTTTTTTTTTATTTAGTATTTTTTTATGCGATAAGCCGGTAATCGAGCAGATCACCTGATGTTAAGCAATCGGCGTCACCCATGGACACCTGGAACTCCAGAGGCGTTACAAGTGCGTTACCGGCCTTTTGGGATTAGGAATTTGAGGATTGTTGGGGATTCAGGGATTGGGGAGGGAATAATTGGGCCCCGGTTACCTCACTCACACGACGAAACGCAAGCGTTGCTTCACGTCGGTTTTCTGTGAGGCCGTGATATCACTCCGGTCGAGCCGGCCCATTCGTGCCGAAACATGGCTCTCCCACACTTAGTACCTATGTTATAAAAGTCGTATTTCTATTCTATACAAATTGATTTGTACCAATTCTTCCACATTTTCTGTTGCATATTTATATTTCTGTTGCCATTTATGCATGTAGTGTCTATGTGTAGTGCTCTCCGTTATCACCTAGTGCATGCATCCGAGTGCCAACACACCTGTGTTCTGTGCAGCTTGGCTCCCACATGCACAGTGTATAGACGTCGCTGTGCAGGCCCTCTGTGCATCGATTGGTACGTATTTGTATTCCTCGACCTTGAATTCTAAAGACTTTTTATAGGTAAGGCGTAGACATGCAATACGGTAGTTGACAACTAGTCAAATTCAATACTTTTCTATGAATTTTGTACGAAATTCCATCTTATGACGTCATCATATTTTTGCGTCAAATAGCACACTTATACATATACATAAAAAATTCTAGAATAAATCGAAAATTAAGTTTATCGGCAAATCAATGAATGAAAGTGTAGGTAACTATTTTTCAATATTTAATTGGACTGAAAAATCAAAATAATTTATTTTGACCCAGGAAACTACCCAATTGTCGTTGTGTTTCCAATGTAGTTAGCATGGTTTAATGTGGGCCATGTTTTTAAGTTTTGAATGAAACAAAATAGCATCAAATCTTTTTGTTTCCCAAACAGATGAAGTCGGATATTTATTATAACTTTTCGTCGTTCACTAGTTTAACTAGGGCTAAGTATGGATTTTTTTTAAATCAAACAACGTTTTTTTATTATGTTTTCTTACGTTTATCATCTCTATGACTATATTGTGAACAAGTTTTTGAGTTTTTGACGGACAAAAGAATAATAAGATCCTTACATGAACGACTATATAACTGTCATTTTACAAGTAACAACAGTTTTATATCAAGCTATAACAAAAGGTTATTTAAGTATTGTCACGAAAATAGTTTGGTCTTGTCTCATAATATAAGGGATATGAAAATGGCGTCACGATCCGTTGACGGCCGTAAAATATGTACGAGATACGAGTACATAGTGAGATGTAGTTCAAAATGACTGTTATTGGCTGTTGTGGAACAAGATATGTCCATAAAAGCCTTGGGTATTACGCTTTTGAGCAGTCTCTACTGTATGCATATAAACATATGTCGAAATGTATCATCTTATACTATTATATAAAGCGAAAGAGTTTGTTTTTTTGTTTGTTTCTTTGAACGCGCTAATCTCCGTAACCACAAGTCTGATTTGAATAATTCTTTTTTGTGTTGAATAGCGCATTTATGAAGGATGACTATAGGCTATAAACATCACACTACGACCAATAGGAGTTGAACAGAGCGTGTGAAACCGCGCGAAAGTAGCTAGTGTTTTATATAAAGAAGTGTATTGATATGGATAGAATTATATTTTCTTAGGCTTGTTTGTGGATAGGTACCTCGATGTTTAACATTATGAATGGTGATTTTTATAGGGGTGTACATAACACAGAATGTAAACGGAACGCTCTCGAAAAACACCGACAAGTGATAATAAAAAATAAGCTGTATTTTAATAAAAGTATGGAATTCAATGCTTGTTCTATTTAATAATAGTTGTAAGCAACTGCTCAAGGTTGATGTTGCATGAATAACATGAAAACAAAAGTGCGGGAGAGCCATGCTTCCGGAAGAATGGGCCGATTGGATTGATACCACGGCCTCACAAAAAACCGACGTGAAACAACGCTTGCGTTGTATTTCGTCGTTTGAGTGTGGTTACCTGAGGCCCAATTACCTCCTCTCCAGTCTCCCCAATCCCCGAATCCTCCACAATCCTCAAATTCCCAATTCCCAAAAGGCTGGTAACGCACTTGTAACGCCTTGGTGTTCTAAGTGTCCATGGGCGGCGCCGATTGCTAACCATCAGGTGATCCGTCTGCTCGTTCACGGGCTTATGCTAATAAAAAAAAAAAAACTAGTTTATCTTTGTCAGCATTTCGGGGACATTCCTTTTACACCCTATATGCCAACCGTGACAAAATGAGGAACCGTCTATAACAGTCACTACTGATAATAATAGCAAAAAGTCCATTAAGTGTTATAGGTCTTACTAAAGTGTGACACGTTACCCCTTGGGAGCTGGAGAGGGAAGATGAATTTGGTTCATGTAATTGGTGCGATTGACAGACATGACAGATGGTTGTGACTTTTGGAAGTAGACTAAACTAATTTGAAATAAAGATTGTCAATTTCGAAATCAATAATCATTCTAAAGAAATTGCGTACGGCGTTCGGTGTGCGACCCTTTCCCTTAAGGCAGGAATATAATTCGCCAGCACCCAACTATGTATGTACACTAAGGCTTCCAGTCTCGATACATTTTCGAGTCCCGGGAAAAAAAAATCGAGACTGGGTCCGGTCCCGGGAGTCCCGGGAAAAACGAGACTTTCGAGACTAAATAAGTTTCATACTCAAGGTTTATACAATTAGGCAAATAAAACAATATGTTTCAATTATGCACTTTATTAATCAACTATTACAAAAAAAAAACAAATGTATTATATAAAATTAACATTTTTCATTTTTAAAATATGCACGCAGAAAGCAAAGGGCATTCAATGACTTTTCAGATAAAGAGGATCTGATTTTGTTACAAAAGTACCCTGCATTTGAAAAAGCTCTCTCTGCTTCGACACTAGTAGGGGGGATGGATAGTAAATAATTATAGCACTGATTTAAATGCTTACCTCTGTCACCACCGTTCTCAAAGAGAGCTTTTTCTACATGCAAAGTCGTTTGCAAGTCATGAGTGTTGCCACGTCACTTAATTAAAATAATAATGGTAGTTTAGTAGATTTATTTAGTAGATTGGTATTTTTTGTAGATTATTTAACTAACTCTCGAAAGTCTCGAAATTCTCGAAAATTGGAGCTGAGGTCTCGAGTCTCGAAAACATGAAAAAATCGTCGAGACTCTCGGGATTTTCGAGACCGAGACTCCCGGGATGGAAGCCCTAATGTACACCTCAACTCAACGTTTCATGTGTAACAGCACTGAGTAAATTGTTTGAAAAACATTGTAACAGATACCTAATTTATTTCGGTTTCTTTGTTCAGAGAGATCAGATGCTAGTTACAATCCAATTACTTGAGGTAAAGGACAGGGATTCATTTTACTTGTTCGTGGAATATCTATGTTTTCCTTATTAATAATTGATTGGTTAGTTCAAGGCCAAGGTACTGGTACTTCTAAAGTAGAGTATTATGAAGAAAATTGGTGCGATTTACTTAAATGGAAATTTTTGGCTGACTTTTATGTTTTGTTATTCTGTATCTGTTTATTATGTCTGGTTCATATACTTGCATGGGACTTACGACTGGCAAAATTATTTAACTTAAAAAAAACATTGTATAAACTAAATAATAATGATATCTAGAACTAAAATATAAATAAAATAAAATAGTTATAGTATCTCTGAATACGTTTCTGGGGAATAAAAAGACATGATGATGATTATCTTAGAAATAAGAATGAATCAATCTAGCCTTAAAATACCCCACTGAAGTTTGGTATCTAAAGCAACTGCTGAAGGATGTTTTTACTTTGCAGTGTTTACTGGGCGATGTCCCTTCAGGTGTGTGTTTGGGAAGTGGTATACGTTCACGTGCATCGGTCCCAGGCCAGTGATGCTCTTATACTGGTCGGCCAAGATGGAGTGCAGAGACCGCCCATACATTTTCCTAAAGGTAAGTTACAGCTTTGAATTTTTCATTTTTGCAGTACTGGAGGCATAGTTTATCGGCGTCATTGTGGTGTCAAACGTTTCGTATAAAGTTTTGATTATGAAGTGTATAATAGTGATTCAAAAAGCAGGAACAATTTCGAAAGTAAACCTAAAAATTAGATTTCTAATATATGCTAGGTTTTAAGACATATTTTTCGTTCATATTTTGGGGACAGATTTGTATGTAAGAATTTGTCGCGAAGAGCAATATATATTGGGAATTATTTCACTAGTCACCTGTCCAAAATATGTGGCAGTTCGACAATTTTGCCTACAATTTCACAGCAACCGCAAATGACGTCACAGGCACTCATATTCCCTCGTCACAAAATGTGGTTTACCGACTCACAGATTGAAATAATTGCAAATGTCATTTAACATTATGCATCCTCTTTTGTTTTAAAATGGTACACAATTATCATGACGAGTTCTTTTAGGGTTACCCTAACTACGATTTATCCTTATTATAGACCTAAAAACCCCATTTAAGAATTAAAACCTTCCAGAGTAATGAGAATTACTACGAAATTGAAAAGTTGCGTATAATTTAAGAGCATTGGGTACAATAAAAAGTTTGTGAATAGATTGTTCGCTTTGTTTCAACATAATAATTAATGGCGAGCGTCGGCTGAAGCGAGTTCAAACTTTGGCTAATTGTAATGCGGATTTTCAAGGTCAAGGCTGATTTATTGTTCGGGTATTGGATCAATCGGAAACAGGACCTTTTGTTGATGGCTGTAAAAGGCTCTAAAGCGAGAACTTTCCAGAATTATTAAGAGATTTATGATTTGATTATTCTATATTCCTACAGGAAGTAATATCTGGATTTACTAAACCAATTTTGAATATATGGAACTAACATCGCTTTCTCCAATGGTTCTAGTGATGAATTTAAATCGTGTGTTTGAAATAATTTTGAATTTTTTACATTTTTATACATACAATTATGAGAATAATGCAAAAATGAAAGATTTGTGGAGAGATACTAATAATCTAAGCTGCACGTGACATACCTAAGAGCCAAAAACGTGTATTTATTTCGATAAAAAAAATAAAAGCAATTTTTTTTAATAGTCTAGCAAAGATTTTAAAATCATTTTCATACGGATCTATAAACAACTTCAACAATGACAAGGATTGTTTTGTTTTAGGAGGACATTTGCTCTCTTTTCTGAGCAACCTAGAAACCGGATTGCTCCCACATGGACAACTAGACCCACCCCTCTGGTCGCAGAGGGGTACAGGAAAGGTATGTGTTATGTTTGATATTGTGGTATGTTTTATCCATTTTATTTCATTGAATAAAATATTTTTGACATTGGCCTTTTGACCATTTTTAACATTTTTACCTCGTTAGTCAAGTAATTGTAAGTTCAACTTTCCAGCAAGGTGTTCCCGGGTCAGACGAAATTTTAAATGTGATATTTTTGAACAACACAGTTTACTAAAGAAAAGTGCATATGCGTAATACTCATACTTTATAAATAGGTGCCTTTTCTGGTCTCCAGGGATTAATGGACATAACTTTATACATTATGTATTCATCCTTGATACATATCACATTTCTGTTTTATTTGTATGTCAGGTGTTCGGCCGCGGTAAAGCAAGACGACGGCCGCTGCCAAGTTTATGTGAGAGCGGGGAAACTGAAGAACCGGAGTGGGAGGAGACAGCTGGAGACTATGTCTTCAGGATTGTTAATAATGCTATTGCTGATAGAGAAGGTACTTCACTACATAGTATAAAACAAAGTCGCTATCCCCCGTCTGTCCGTCCCAATGTATGATTAGATCTTTAAAACTACGCAATAGATTTTGATGTGGTTTTTTTAATAGATAGGGTGATTCTTAAGGAAGGTTTCTATGGATAATATATGCACACTGCATTCGTGCGAAGCCGGGGTGGGTCGCTAGTATTTAATAAATATCCCTTTAAATTGATTCTGTTAAGCGAAAAATATTACAAAAATGTGTTCTGTCTTCAACTTGCGTAAGAATGTAGTTTGTGTACACTATGTTTTTCTATGTAAACAAATGAACATGGTGAATTTGATGCTTCATGGTATTATACTGACATAGTATGAACTTGGGAGATTGTTAATTTCTAATACAGAAGTCTCAACGGCTTCGTCGTTAATTTCCATAATCATATTTAAACGTATTTTTTTCTCAGCAATGCGACATTCGCTGTTAGAACGTGCAGTGCAGTCACCCCCTCGTACACCGCGTCGTCCTTTAGCTTCCACGTCCACTACATCATCTGATTCCTCAACCATGTCGGTTGACTGCCCACCATCAGCCGGACTTAATGGGCATCCGCCATTGACGCCCATACCACATCAACCGGTTGAACAGGTACAGTTAATTGAAGACATGTAATATAGAAATATCCTTAGTTCAAAATAACTGATTAAGTTCGATTTTTTAAAGCAAATAATTTAATATTCCTTTAATTTTTATAAGAAACGTAATTTATTATGCATAAAAGGACTTTAATTTCTTTCAAACGTAGTCCTTCGTGGTTATAATGAGAAAATATTTTGGCGACCAACATGGAACTCGGTGTCCCAGCTGGGTGCCATTAAGTTTTATTCTTATTATTTGATTTTGTTTTTGTTATTTTACAGGCTGCTTCCATCGAGTTAGTGTGCAGTACAATGCGTCGTCAGATTATTTCTCGAGCATTTTATGGCTGGCTTGCTTACTGCCGCCATTTGTCTACAGTTAGGACACATCTCAGTGGTCTCGTGCATCCGATCATCGTTCCTCGAGGTATGACTAAGTCGAGTGTTTTCTAGTGTATTAGGTTTAGGATTTGTATCTCACCATCATAATCAACTGCTCACGGCACGGGCTTCATGTTTCCCCTACAAAATGAATCAATACTTAAATTTTTGAAATGTTATTATTCCTTTTAGTCTCATTTTGATTATATGTCTTTATTTATTGAAAGTTGTGAATGTTACAGAAAACGCAGAAGGCGGTCTCACAGATGAGCGATGGCTAGCAATGACTGATGAGTCTGGAGCAATACACGACAAGGATGAAGTGTACCGGCTGGTGTACTACGGAGGAGTGCAGCATGACATCCGGCGACATGTGTGGCCTTATTTACTCGGATATTACGAGTAAGTTTTAAGATGGTGACATTTTAAGCTATTGAAACAAGAGCAGTTGACTATAGTAAACGAATCGTTAGAGCACTGTTGCGAGATCTCGAGTATTTATTTTCTCAAGTTTCATAATGCATGCTTTGATTTATATTTCGCTCTCTCTGTCTGTTTTGCTATAAAAGCGAACTCCACTAAAAGGTAATATAACAAATGAAAAGTGTAAATACTTCTTCGTAGTGGAAAAATTGATATTATGGTGAAATTTCGTAGATTTGGTTCTACGGCAGAGGAACGAGCTGAACAAGATGCGGCGTGTCGTCGCCAATATGAGACGACGATGTCGGAGTGGTTGTGCGTGGAGGCTATTGTGCGACAACGGGACCGTGAGGCCACGGCCGCGTCCATCGCCAGACTGACTGAAGCATCCGGCAAACTGAAGCCTACTGACAATAATGATACCAGCGAGGTATGTACGATACGGTTAGGTTTTTAAAGGTATGAATGAAGATCAGCCTTTGTATATATGAAATGATCAGAGATAGAACAACGTAATCAGACTTTTAGAGAAATTCTAAATAAACCAAACTATAGATAAACATTTAGTTATTTTGAATTATTTTTTAGGTATTCGAAGACGACTGCAGCGTAATCTCAGACAACCCACCAATCGTTTCACCAGAACCCAGTGAGAACGAACAAAGACGACCGGACAAGCCCGTATTATCTCGAGCACCCAGCATAGACGAGGTAGACAACATTGAAATGGACTCGGAAAGAGATAAAGAAACAAAACAGAACGGAGAGACTGAGAATGGTGATAATAGGGATGTAGATGTAGACAGTCTAAAAGACTTAGATGAGAATGAAGATGTCCATTTGAAAAGCGTTGTCGACAACCCTGATATGAGGAGGGAAAGTATAGCTGAAATCAAGAGGCTAGCTGAAGAGATCGTTCAGAAGGGCGACGGTCGAGGGCTTCTTTGTAGCGTTGACAGTGCTCATGTAAATGGTACTGGAAGTGATTTCAGGTCGTCTATAGATGAAAGTGGGCCAAGTCCTCATCAGCAACATACAAGTGTTATCATTACTAATCCTTCAGTTGATCTCGCGGCTGGAGGGTCTCCTGTTTCTGGTGGAACTACTGGTAAGTTTGTTTTTAAGTTTATTAGTGAGTCAACTGTTTTGCAATACAAATAATCTAGATACTGACTATGCTTGCTCCTTAGTACGAGAAAATGGGAAAAATCTTGCCTTCTTAAAATTAAACCGATAGACATAATAAAATCTTTTGAGCTTAATTAAAAACCAGTTAATGATTTTTCTGTCTTAGCACAAGTAAGTCCAGCTCGTAGTCCCCTCGGAGTAGTTCGCGAGGAGTCGCAGTCAGCTGGAGCTAGCTTCGATACTCTGGAACCGGCGGATAGGAACGCACAGGATAATCGATCAAATTGTGTCTCACCGGCGAGCTCTAATGGGGGAGTTTATTCTGTAAGTGTAACATATATTTTAACATGTTACATTAGTTTGTTTTCACACGAATCTTGGTGAACATATACAAGTATTTTGTTTGATAAAGTAGTTTTACTAAAGTTATGTTTGCTTTGTCTTATCCTTCCATCAATTTCCGTTCTGTATCATTATTATAATCATCGTCAACATCATCGACCTTCTATTTATATTTTGCAGAACGAATTGGTTGAATCCTTCGCTCTCAACCTGCATCGCATAGAGAAAGACGTTCAGAGATGTGACAGGAATTACCCATTCTTCACTGATGAGAATCTAGATAAACTACGGAATATTATGTGCACGTAAGTATTTCATTGAGAGAAACATTTCATTTTTCTATATAAAAGTACCATTAAAAGCATAGACGCTAATTAAAATACAGTAGCATAAGTACTAAGTATTGTCCGCCAGTTCAGGCCTACAAGGTTCCAGGAGCATTTTCCATCCTTGGAACAAAAAAAAATCTGAATAAGGTCTTGTATTTCGTCTATAAAGAGTTTTAATATGTTTCATTTTTACATCATACCATAGTTTCCATAATGATATCCTACTAACGAATCTTCGTCCGTCTTGCAGCTACGTATGGGAGCACCTGGAGACAGGCTACATGCAGGGTATGTGCGACCTGGCGGCGCCACTACTCGTCATGATGCGCGAGGAGGCGCACGCGCACGCTCTCTTCAACAGTCTCATGCGACGCGCTACTGACAACTTCCCGTCTGGACAGGCCATGGATGCGCACTTTGCTGATATGAGGTCACATTTATTTTCAATTATCTTTTGTTTTATTCTCTGTACATTTAACTTGTGTTATAACAGCCTGACAAAAAACCGGCGTAAACGAACAATTGCATAGTGTTTTATCTTATGAGTCAGCATATTAGAGATCCCCTCATCCTCAATCTTCAGTCCCTAATCGTTGATGCCCAATCCCCAATTCTTAGTCAACGTCCTCCTGTTATGTAACGAGTGTCCAGGGACGACGCCATTTGGTAACCATGTTACCATCAAGTTATCCATCTGGTCGTTTGTCGCTCTATAACACAAAAATATTTTTTTGGGGCCAAAGATGTTGTCTTTGTCTCTCTATTTCACCATATTTGTTCCAGGTCTCTCATCCAGATTCTGGATTGCGAGCTGTACGAGTTGATGCACGCGCACGGCGACTACACGCACTTCTACTTCTGTTACCGCTGGTTCTTGCTCGACTTCAAGAGGGAACTGCTTTACCAGGACGTAAGTACAAACCCTTGAAAATTAAAGGATTGAATTTGACAAGTCTTGTGTATCTTGTAGTTACGCTTCTAGTCTGTTTGGTAATCCTGAAATATGGAATCACATACGGAGTATCACCGAGTATCAAACATTTCATATTTTGAATAGTGAAACATAAAAAGAGGTTTACTTAGGTACGTTACTGGTGTTTTTCGTTTGGTACAGTGGGTTGCGATCTCATATAGTCACCTGTTATTAACCCTGACCGTCTTGTTAAATATCATGTGCAATACTACAATGCCATGTCATGTTATTACCTATTTTAACTTATACATTCTTTCAATTTTCTCTACATTTGTCTACTTTCATCTTCGTTTCTAGGTGTTTGCAGCATGGGAATTAATTTGGGCGGCTCGTCACGTGGCATCAGAGCATATGGTGCTGTTCATAGCGCTCGCGCTCTTAGAGACCTACCGTGACGTCATCCTCGCCAACACTATGGACTTCACTGATATCATCAAGTTTTTCAATGGTAAGTACTTCATTATTGTTTGTTATTTAACTTTTGAACAGAAAAGTTTGTAAAAACTGTTTTAAGTGCGGGAGAGCCATGCTTTGGTACGAACGAGCCGACTTCACGGCCATACAGAAACCCGACGTGAAACAACACTTGCGTTGAATTTCGTCGTGTGAGTGAAGTTACCGGAAGCCTAATTGCCCCCCTTCCCCAATCCCCCAACAATCCTCAAATTCCTAATCCCCAACAGGCATGTAACGCCTCTAGTGTTTCAGGTGTCCATGGGCGACGCCTATTGCTTACCATCAGGGTGCTTACTCTTGAAACCAATCTCAATGTCAATGCAATTGCAATCTAATGAAAACTAAACAACCATCGTAGCTGTTAAAATACCATTCAGAGTACGGAATATGAAGTTAAACTCAATACCATTGAGTTCATTCAATATCCGCACAATATTGATGCAATGGGCTTAAGTGTTGCAACTCAAGAGTACGAAATTTAACAATACTAATGTCGACCGATCGGAATTGGATTCAAGAGTAAGCCCCCTAGTGATGGTTTATCGGCTTATCCCATAAAAAAGTAAAAAAATCATTAATTTAAGCTGTAATGCATTACTTAAGTTATTGCGCTCTGTTTTCAAAGTTATTTATTTGTTTCCTTCTTTTGTAGCTCTAAAATGATCTTGAACATTTTCAATAATATTTAGTGTGTTTATTACCTTAGTTTTATTAATAACCTGTTGCTATATGACTATTTGCACAGAGAGTTTCGTGTTAGTGGAGGGTGTATGTCTAGTAGTGAACGAAGAAGGGCTATATTGTTATTCACAGTAAATATTTAAAATACTTTTTTATTTCAGAAATGGCTGAACGACACGACGCGTCAGCAGTGTTATCCCTAGCAAGGGACCTTGTTCTACAAGTTCAGACTCTAATAGAGAACAAATAAGTATCACTTTAGAAAGGTTTCACTTATGTAGACCTTGCAAGACTGGAAATTCAAGTTTATGACAAACTAGGGCCAGTGTATCACTGTTTGGCAAACAGCTGGAAACTTTATGCACTATCATTCTCCACATTAGTTAGCAAACAGACGTATATTTTTGAATCAAAATAATTGCATTTAGTAGATCATCTCCGAGATATGAGAAAACGCATCATTTTTCTTTGCAGTCTTGCAAAGTCTAATACATGGACGGTCGGTATTCGACATTGGCATCTATCAAGTACGTAGGAATAAGTAGTGTAATAGAGAAAAAAATATAAAAAACAATATTTTTAAATTTATAAAGTAGACAAAATATTGGCTATACATTAGAATAAATTACCCATTTCGTCTAAATTACCTAGAACCCAATGAATTTAAATCGAAGAAATAATAAAAAAAGATAAATAAATTATTTATGAGATTCGAAATTTAAATCAATTATATTGGATCTGTCTTGTTGTGTCATCTCAAAATAATTCAATACGAAAATATTTTTTTTAATGAATTTTAAATGATTTTATCGATGTTATAACAATGGTTTTAAATAAAAATAATGCTTATTAAAATAGTACCTGCATAAAGAGATGCCAAAATAAAATTAAGGCATTTAAAATGTGCTTTAAAGTTAAAACTACTGACATAACAAAATACAAATAAACACACGAATCATTAAAATTAATTTGTTGTCATATTTATCTATCGGTACAGATCGATTCAGACGGCACGGATGGATGAGTATTCAACGAAAAATATTAACGAAATATTTTTGCTGTAAGCAAAACATTGAAAGATGTTACAGTTTTCCATAAATACATCTATGGTATATGATTTAAGTCTTCTTTTTTGGGGCTAACGTATTTTTGCCTACTACATAGCGCAAATGTAGGAATGGATTTTTTACATTAGCTATATCTCTATTGGATGAAGAGCGAGCGGTCCACACTAACAAAGCAAAATACGGTAGGCCCTCACTACTTATGTATGCAATCACAAAAATATAAATTTTGACAATGACATATGTTCTGTTCGCACTTATCGTGTTTAAGCGAGAAGGAAAATAAATGCGTCGAATAATCTATTCCTTATGCAACAGTGACGTGAAAGTATTAAAGTATAACCTATTTACAAATATTTTTTAAATTTTAATATTTACATTATGAAGCGTGAAATTCTATTTCAAATTACCTCTAATATACATACATATTACACTATACATATTTATACTCAAGAATATTGTATTCGTGATACAGTCAGCGACAAAATTTCAAAAGTATGGATGATATCCAAAAACTCTATAAGACCTTCCAGAGCAGTTATGCAATTTATTGCTGATTGTACGGTCGCCAGCAGGCTAACCTATCCTTACATCTTCAACTTTATTGTATTGACATAAAGTGGAAATTCCGACAAAATGGTTTGACAGATTGGAGTAGATTGATCCGCTGGCCATTGTATCTACTAATCTTGTATACCTATTTATTATTGTTAATAACAAAATATCCCTTTTCTATACAACACTTCCCCTTGTGCCTTTTTCATATCAAACAGAAACAAATCAGTTATTTTAAAATGAACATAAAATTATCTATTTAACAATTACTTATGGTGAGCCTAATAGGGTAGATAACTAATTAATTACATAACATAACATCACGCCTTTTATCCTCGAAGGAGAAGCAGAGGTGCACATTATACCACTGTACAATGTAACACCCACTTTTCACTATTAATGTTACGAGTCTCATGTAATAGGGGGTGAGCCTATTGCCATATACCGGCCACAATTCCAGACACCGTGCTACTACGGAGGATTTTTAAAAAAACCCAGTAATACTTTGCTCGACCCGGGAATCGAACCCGAGACCTCTTGCCCGGCAGTCGCAATCGCGACCACTCGGCCAACGAGGCAGTCTTTATTTTAATACTATTTATAAATCGTATCGTAATCGGCATTGCTCTTATGGCATCCCGGGATGCTCTTACGGAATCACAGAATCATGTAGACTTGAGTCCAAAGTATCAAAAGCGGGGAGTCCATCTTATCTTCTTACGTCACGTCTGGTCAATATAATTTATCTGCATATGTGAGATTTATGCTAATCCACATAAGATTAGACTAGCGTCCAGTCTCATTCACGTGTGTTGAGAACGAGTAAACAAAATGTACCTATTTGGTATTTTTTTAATAATTATGATAAAAGCACAAAGAAAACACAATCTTTAAAAAATAGACGATAAATAAAATCATGGTTGGTCACCGAAACTTGACTATTAATTTTATAGTTTAATCTCAAAACTCGATAATGATTGAAAATTAACAGTAATTCGTTATTAAATTTAATTACCTATGTACCTATTTTAAGTAAATTCATATTAATATATATATTTACGTGTATAAACACAATTATTTTAATTATAAGTATTAAAGAAACAAAATATGGACATGACGTCACTAAAAAGTAAAAATAATGAAAAGTAAGAAATCAGTACAGAATAAAAACGAAGTAAACAAAAAATGACAAATGGTCAAAGACTAACATAGATAATATATTAATAGAAAAAAATATTAAGCGAATGTTTTTGTGTCTGTGCTTTTAATGAGTATTTCGTCCGTTTTATTCAAGTACAAGGTCATTAACCCTTCTTATGTTACGCAACACAAAATAATGTTAGATTTAATCGTAATATTGTATTTAGCGCTTCCAAAGTTGATTTATTGTTATTAATATTTAATGGATTGCTCTAAAAATAAAAATATAAAAAATAAGAACGTTTTCTATGACCATAGAGTGATCCATCAAATAATTTGTTAAGAGTTCTAAGAATATTTTTAAATTTATTAATCCTAATGTAAGCGAGAACAAATCGTATTTATTTAAAAGTTCTATTCGGTGTAGCTATATTCTGATATTGTCTTTATAAATAAATTTCTATGTATACATACTGTAATTTTACCGTTAAGGCTTCTTAGATGTTTTGTGCTGTTATTTAATATCAATGTCTATCAAATCAAATTAATGTGATTATTGTACGCTTAAAAAATCCCCTCACCGTTTCCACCGAGGTAAAAATAAAAAAGCCATTGCTTTGTTTTTAAAAAGAATGTACCTAAATGACATTATACCACAGACAATCTTAGGTATATTTAACTACTTTTATTTTTATACAGGGAATTAGGATATACAGCCTGATTAAATTCTTTTTACGCACTTTTTTTTGTTTTTACCTTGGTGTGACCGTAGAACACACAATCTTAAGTAATATGACAGGCCTAAGCCCAATTAAGCGAAGCTTTACTTTCATGTGTGTGTTATGAACACGTTTAGTGTCAAAATATAGTAAATTACTAAATTATGTCTACACTTTTAAACTGGAAAAGTTTTAGGGGCATTTTTGAAAAGTCAATGTCAAAACGGTTTAATTTTCTAAACACCATGACAATTTCAATTTTCCTAAGAATGTAATTATTTTGATTATTTTTCTAAAATGCTCCAAAAGTTTTTAAATTAAGTATATACCTAATCTAAATAAATGTTTGTACGAATCTATGTAAACCATTTTAAAAACTATTTTGTAACTGAAATGAAATTTTATTTTCCAAATAGTAGTATGTCTGTACATACATATAGCCTCTAGCAAAAGTTTTTAACTATAAATGTAATAATTTTCATTCTCATTGTAATACTTAGAAACCACGAAAAATGTATAATGCCTAAACTTTTTTCTAAATGTTATCTGTCAGAAAAAGAAAAATAAATGATGTTATTGTCGATGGTGCAATTACCACTTTTTGAAAAACGAACTTCGGCTATCTTAAAATCATAAAGAAATAAAAATCTATAAATGTCAGCTATCAGTGTAAAATAACCATTCCCAGTTAAAGATCTAAATGTGTAATAAATAAAAATGAAGGTATTGTATTCTATCTATGAATAAATAAAATGACTTGTCTACCTTATCACTAAATCGTAGTTAAGAACAATTTATAGTAAACGATTATTTTTGTGAAGTCATCTTTGTCATTAAATTGTGTTTCCATTTTAATTAATTGTTTTATTTAACAGTTTAGTCCCAATATAGCTTAAAACCAGCAAGTAATAAGATAACAAGGTATAAGATCATTCGCCTGCCTCATTGGCCGAGTGGTCGCAAGTGCGACGGCGGCAAGGGGTTTTGGGTTCGATTCCCGGGTCGGGCAAAGTGTTACTGGGTTTAAAAATCCCAGTAGTAGCACGGAGTCTGGAATAGTGCCCGGTATATGGCAATAGGCCCACCCCCTATTACATGGGACTCATAACATAAATAGTGATAAAAAGTGGGTGTTACATTGTACAGTGTCATTAAGTGCCGTAATGTGCACCTCTACCTATCCCTTCGGGGGAGAAAGGGGTGATGCTATGTTTATATTATGTTAAGATCATTAAGTAGTTTTTCATTTTAAATGGGTTACTATAACTTTTTACCAGTTTTGTTACTAGTCCTATGATTCCAAAATGACTCCCATGTAAATAGGGTTTGAGCTAATTGCTATCCACCATCGAATATCCTTATGCGGTCTACGGATACAGCCTAATCAACGTTGTTAAATATAATAACATGAAATAAGTTATATGCCCCTGTCATATATCTTTTTTACATACAAGGTGATTTATTATTAGACCATAATCTCGTATAGGGTTATAGTAGGTATGTACCTGCCATTTCCAAAATTGTTGTCGAACAAAGGGATAGGCGGAAATTAACAGTTATTAAAATATTTAACTATAATAGTTAAATTCAAAATGACGCTCGAGTTAAGTCTAAAACTTAAAAAAAAAGGAACGCACTTGACCTAATTTTATTTTTCTAATTATCGTATAACTTATAACTCACGAACGGCATAATCGATTTGGATAAAAATTTGAAACCAGGATTTGGACATTTTTTTTTTTAAGGGGGGAAAATCATCGAATGACTTCTCCCGCCTGGGTGAGGCGGGAAGGAGTGTCAGACTCTTACTGACTAAAAACCACCCCGTTCCTTCTCCTGCACGTCGAGTCGGAGCCCCGGTTACCCGTTAGGTTCTATTTGGACATAGGATGCTTTTATCCAAGGATTTCCGCATACGAACTCATGGACAGAACCTAGTTTCTTTGTATATATTTAATAGCATCCTGTGATACCAGATCAAATGGTGGCCAAACACGATGGTGGTCCACCACGATTTGGTTTATGAAATGGTGGATTCAAACATAAATAAAAAAATAGGTTCTTATAATGAAAACATAGGTAACATTTATGTCAGCTTAGGGTATTCACATAGCGCGCGTAACAAACAAGTAATCATGAGCAATGACTGATGATTCTCAGTAAATCGATACTGATTATAGCGTTATTCATACAAACAGATGTCACGCGATGATTGATACTGTGTGTCATAAACATCAGCAATGTAAAAGTAGATCCAATTGATATCAAGGGCTCATGATTTGCAAGAAACTATTGATTATTGTCAATATTCTCTATTTGTGCGTATCTTGATTTTCATACATAGGAACGTAAAAAACCTCCGGGCCACCACGACATTATCGACACAAAAAAAAAATCATCAACATTAACATCAGCATCAACGCCCTGTGTCAGTCCACTGTTAGTGATTATCCTGCTTTCCGTAAGAGGGTTTGCTAAAACTATTATGTGTCTGCCACACACTCAACAAGTGGTATGGGAAGCAACGAGGAAAGGAGGCAGACACAAAGTGTGGCAATATTATTCGTCATGCCACACGTTATGCTTCTTGTCCTGCCTGCTGTTGCCTATTTTGTCTTTGCACGCGAGTAAAGGATCGGCAATACGAGGCAACGAGGACCGGCATGGCAATAGAACAATGTGGGCAACATCGCGGCAAATTATGGCAATGCGAGGAGCATAGGGATGAGCAGCGCAAGGAGCATAGTCTGGCAGACGCATTACGTTTCACAGTTGGGTTGGCGATCGTATTAAAAGGTTCTGGTATATATGTGAGCGCTATTGCCCGGTCTAGGTACTAATTGAAATTGAGTTTTTCTAATTATGATTCTAAATTTAATTATGATTTTCTTAGTAGAATTAAATCTTAGTCATGATGCATGATAGTAGACTTACCGCATAATAAATATGAATCAGTTATCTACCTCTATATACATGAAAATGAATTTCCGTTCGTTAGTCTCGCTGAAACTAGAGAACGGCTGGACCGATTTGGTAAAATTTGGTCTTGAATACTTGAGGAAGTCAAGGGTAAGTTTTAAGGTACAAGGCGGTACGAAGTTTCCCGGTTCAGCTAGTAACTAGATATAAATAAAATCTTCCAAAACCTATGCTCTTGCTAACTAAGTATGCGTATCTTTAAGGAAAAAGGCGTTATGTTGTTTTCAATGTAATCTGAAAAGTGTGTCGCTATAATTATGATGTTTTCAATATAAACAAATCTAGTAGATATGAATAATATTGTGTAATATTCAACGAACAATGCCCGTTATTTCGAACAATAGTACACATGAGTTTTAAACGTGATATATTATTGTGTTATCTGTTCATCTAATGCTGCAATTAGTTTCAACCGTTTGGGTAAACAACCGATTCTCTACGTAAGACAAAGTGAGTCAGTCAATATTGAGGATTTAGTTACTTTTTTACT